CACTATCGTGATCCCAATTCTATCTTACAAATCTGGCTGAACTGGATGTACATTGGTACAAATAGGAACTGGAAACACAGGGAATCCAGGACAGATGAACCCCTCAGGACCAGTGATGTCAGTGGCGATACTGGGAGGGTAAGGGGAAGGTGGGGTAAAAAGGGGGAACTGATTACAAAAATCTACATATAACCCCCTCCCTGGGGGAAGGACAACAGAAAAGTGGGTGAAAGGAGACGTTGGACAGTGTAAGACATGACAAAATAATAATAATTATCAAGGGTTTGTGAAGAAGGGGGGAGGGGAAAAATGAGGAGCTGATACCAAGGGCTCAAGTAGAAAGCAAATGTTTTTGAGAATGATGGCAACAAATGCACAAATGTGCTTGACACAATGGATGTATGTATGAATTGTGATAAGAGTTGTATGAGCGACTCTCTCACTCAGTCTGACTCACTCACTGCCTCACTCTCTCACTCACTCACTCTCTCACTGCCTCACTCACTCACTGTCTCTCTCACTCACTGCCTCACTCATTCACTGCCTAAAAAAAAAAGAGTTGTATGAGACCCCATAAAATGATTTTATATATAGATATATAGATCTTGCCCTTATGACAACCAAAAGAAGCTACTTACTAGGAAACAAAATGAGTCAGTGGCTATGTCATTCCATAGTGGGTTTACACAGTGGGCTGCTAATCACAATGTCAGTTCAAAACCACCAGTATATATGTATTTTTTTAAAATGCTTTCTGCTCCTGTGAAGATTTACAGTCTTGGAAACCTACAGGAACAGTTCTACTTCATCTTATAGAGTCACTATGAGTCAGAAATGACTTATGGTGTTGAGATATTTTTAGAGTGATAGCATGGGAGAATATATAAAACAGTAGATAAATCCTCAGAACTGAGTTGAATCATTGTAAAACTAAGATAACATGTCCATCTACACCAGTGAGTTGTTGAAAGAATAAAGGAAGATAAAAGAAGTGAAACTATTTTTCACTTTCAAGGATGCAGCATGTCACAATCAGAGTCCCTGAGTGGCACAAATGATTAAGTACTGGACAACTAACCAAAAGGCTAGTGGTTCAAACCTTCCCAGAGGCACCTTGAAATACAGTCTGACAAACTGCTTTCAAAAAGTCACCACTTTGAAACCCCTATGGAACCCCTATTCTGCACACATGCAATCACCAGGAGTCAGAACTCACCGCACAGCAACTAGCATTTCACTAACATCATTTGTGTTTCCATCTACAACACCCAGCAATGAATCAGTAACACGAAGCAGGCCAGATTATAAATGAGCTTTCCCCAGCACCCAGTATCTGTTCCACTGGAATCCTCCATTTCAACTCCATAAGCAAACTCACTGCCATCTAGTCAATTCTGACTCTCAGCAAGCCCTAGTGGTGTGTGGGTTATGCACTGGAACTGCTGCAAGCTCAGCAGTTCACAACAACCAGTCCCTGGCAGGAGAAAGAGGAAATCCTTGGTAACCCACAGGGGCAGTTTTATTCTGTCCTAGAGGGTTGCTATGGGCCACTCCAATTAAATGTATTTATTTCACTAACCTCCAATCAGTTTTTTTGTTTTTTTAAAAAACATTTTATTAGGGGCTCATACAACTGTTATCGCAATCCATACACACATCAATTGTGCAAAGCGCATTTGTACATCATTCTCAAAACATTTTCTCTCCACTTAAACCCCCGACATTAGGTCCTCATTTTTCCCCTCCCTCCCCGCTCCCCCCTCCCTCATGAGCCCTTGATAGTTTTTAAATTGGTATTTTGTCATATCTTGCCCTGTCCGACGTCTCCTTTCACCCACTTTTCGGTTGTCTGTCCCCCAGGGAGGAGGTCATATATAGTTCCTTGTAATCGGTTCCCTCTTTCCTACCCATTCTCCCTTTACCCTCCCTGTTTCGCCACTCACACCACTGGTCCTGTAGGGCTCATCTACCCTGGATTCCTGTATTTTCAGTTCCTATCTGTACCAGTGTACATCCTCTGGTCTAGCCAGACTTGCAAGGTCGAATTCGAGTCATGGTAATGGGAGCAGGGAGGAAACAATCAGTTTTTACTTCATTTCTACCACCAAGGCTTAAAACATACCCTTTTCCTGCATGCAATACCCTCCCTTGTCTTTTGTCTGCCTACACTTTGAGGATCCAGTTTAAACGCCACTACTCTGATGAAAATTCCCTTACTGCCTCAGTCCTGGTAGTGTAGTGGGCTATACATTGGGTTGCTAACCAGAGGCCAGCATTTCAAAATCACCAGCTGCCCCAGGGGGAAAAGATGAGGCTTTCTATTCCTGTAAAGATTTTTACCATCTAGGGCACCCATAGGGGCAGTTCAACTCAGTCCTATAGGGTTGCTATGAGTTGGAATCCACTTGATAGCATTGAGTTTGGAGTTTTTGCCTCAATCTTGAGTCTCTTCTTCTGACCTACTCATCTAACATATACACATCCTTATTTCAGTTATTACTATGATATGTTATTACTATATCATTACTATAAAATATAACATGCGCTTTCACCTTAAGGCTTTGAACTAACACACCAAATCAGTGCAACTGTGCTGACCACCGAAACCATCCAGGGATCTTAAAAAATGTTGATTCCTGCCCCATTTCCAGATAGTCCAATTGAACAGGTATGGATTACGGCCTTAATGTCAGGGCTTTAAAAAGCTCAAGTGATTTCAAGGTGCAGCAAAGTTTGGGAACCATTTCCATTGGTGACAGCTTGCATTTGTGAACCAAAAATATTAAATTAATTGAAGGAAGTAACATTTTGCGGCGTACACGGAGAGTCTGCAGAAGATGTCTGGGCCAAAATCAAACCCAGTGCCATCACGTCGATTCGGACTCACTGAGACCCGGCCTGGAGGGCAAGCAGAACTGCAACTTCTGAGTTTCTGGGAATGTGCATCATTACCGGGGCAGACAACCTTCTCCCTTCCCTAGTGAAGTCGGTGGGTTCGAACCACCAACACACAACTAAGTTAACTGCAGTCCCTGCGGAAACGGTGAACGCTGTGGATTAGTCATACTCACATCGTTGCCATAATGTTCGGCTGGAAGAGAAAGCGCATGTGCCACAGACACCAGCTCCCCGGAAACCTATGGCGGGGGATGAAAAAAAGACTCGAATGTATCCAAGACTCGACTAGGCGCCATTTCCCCACTCACCCAGCCTGCGAGCAGCGTCTCACCGGGCCTTCACTTGCAGTATCCGCCTCCATCTTGCAGTCTAGAAAAACGTGGCTTCAGTACCCCCGAAGTGACCTGAGTGCGCCTCCCCGAGTGGGTGGAAACATTTGAACCGGGCCAAAAAGCCCCTCCCTCGCCGGACGGAGTGCGTCTGCGTACTTCCGCTGGGCTGAGAGGCGGCAGTCCTTGGCCCCGCCTCCTCCGACCTGCGCAGGCGCTGCTGTGGCGCTCTGTTTTGTCCTCTGGTTGGTTGGGGATTCCCGGGGAACTAACGCTGCGGCGCAATACCTAACGTGCGGGATCCTGGAGAAAGCCTCCGCGAAGTGACTGCCATTTGCGCGGCCCAGTGTCCATGCGTGCCTGACCACATCATTCCTCTGGATTCGGTTATTTCTGCCATAGAGCTGAGTCCAAATGGCCAATACCAGTCCACTTCAGCTCACGAATGCCTAGGACACCCATCTGCATTTGGACCACTTCCAGTGTTTCTAAATTCATACTTCAGACGTTGCAAGTTCCAATCATTAGAAGCTTTTTACGGCTGTTTCTCTTTGTCGTGCGTCATGCCCCATCAGCAAATGGAGATCCCAAAGGCCCCATTCCCACAGACTTTACCCAGCTCTGGTCACCAGGGTCGACTGCCCTCCAAAAATCAGCTCCTCTTCTGTCACATTTCGAGTGTCCTGAGACTGAGGGGCCCAGCCTTCACAGTATTTCCTACAATGGTCTGCTTCCTTTGTTTAGGCTTTCCGTATTTGACAGTGCTTTGAAGCTTTGGATAAGCTTTATGGGGGAGACTTCTGCCTCCTACGTGGGGAGCCAGTCCTCTGATGGCTATTCTTAGTCTGGAAGCTTCCCTAACCTGTTTTCTATGGGTGACCCTGCTGGCACTTGAAATGCCAGTGACATAGCTTTCCGCATCACAGCCCGCATCACAGCCACACACATGCCACCACAGTACGGTAAACAGACAGACAAGTGGTGGAACATTCAGGATAGTTGTATTATTACTTCTAGAGCCGAAGAAAAGAGCCCTGGTAGCGCTGCTGGGTGTAAGCATTGGACTGCTAACAATAAGGTTGGCCGATC